AGGTTGCTCCCTTGACCCCCCCCCCCCCCCCCCCCCACCCTTCCAGATCAAGGACATCTCTCCACAGCTCTGCAGGCAGATGAAAGTGCACTCTTGCCATGCTGCAAGCTGACAAAAAACTATGTCATTCTTGTGACCCTCATGAATAAAGCCCCTGCTGAAAGGTACAGGGGATTAGCTTGGGCTCCATGCCTGATTTAGACAGTTTGCATGAGCTGAAAAACACAAATACTCCAAAGTATTTTCTGTTAACAGAAGCACACACACACATATATATATATACATGTGCATGCAGACTACAGGAAACTCTAGTTATAATCAATGCCTTATCTTGCTTCACAGTATACCAAAGGAATCATGAAACTCATGGAAATACTGCAGTGAAGTACTGTGTTTTAGTTTACAAACTTCTGAAGTACTTTGTTATGACTAACAGGCAGCAGCCAGCTCAAGCACTCATCAGAAAAGCCAGAGGATTTCTTTAGCTTTTTCTAATTTTTTTCTTTGTGCAACCATTTAAAAACTTGATTCTCCTACACTAAAGCTCCCGCAGGTACAGACAAGAATGAAACTTTTTTTTGTGCTTCTGTGTCAAAAGCTTTGGTAGTTTCTTACAGGGACATCACATCAAGATGAAGTGTCTTTGAGAACAGCCTTACTAACTTTGCAAAACAAAGTGTCCCCAGCTCTAACACAATCTTTTAAGAGAACAGCAGCAAAAATACCATACCTATTGACTGAGTCTGGAAGAGAAGTGGTATAAGAGGTGATAACCCTGTCCATAACACACCTCTGGCACTCACCTGAGACTACTGAAAGGAAAAAGCAAGGTCAAGGCTTGGCTCTGAGCATGACGTTTGAACCAGAGAAAGAAAACAGAATCTCTTCCATGGATTTTCAAAAGAATTGTGAACCCTTTCTACCCACCAATAACAGCCAGAATGTGACCTAAAACACCAGCTCATGTCACTGCTCCACAAGCAGCGGCAGAGGAGCTAGGTCTGGAAGGAACCCCAAAACCAGGCTGCAGAGTAGAGCTGCAGCTCAGGGCAGCTCCTCATGGACAGTTCAGTTCTGCTTTCTCCCAGTGGCCCTCTCTTCTCACCTCTGCTTATTGAGGAGCAGAAAAAGAAATGAGCAGCAGTGCCCAGACAGCCCAGGGGCAGTGCAGGGGAAGCATCAGAGCCACGGCACGTGGCACGCTGGAGGAAGATGAAGAAATAAAGGAAAGAGAGGACAAAGAAACATGTGGAGGATGTGTGATCACTGGCATGACACGGCTGCTGTACCCACACACCTCTGTGTGTCCACCATGTGCAAGGGCACATTTAAGGCAGGGGTTGGGAGGCTGTAACGAAGATTTACTAACAGAAATCTCAGCCTTGTTTGTGACACGTCTACAACTTTCTATGCACTGTGGGTCAAACATTTACAAGAATGCCTCTTGCTTCTGGTAAAATCAACCACAGGAAGGGCAAGGAAGGATGTAGTGGTGGCAAAATGCAGAACCCAGCATTGCCCTGAAGAGCACAATGACAAAAACTGAAAGTCGGAGCTCCCCAAAATAAACTGTCTGTGTTTGAGGGCTGGAACAGCAAAAAGGGAAACTCTCAGTCTTGATTCTGCTATTACAGAGGGACCAAAAACCTGTAACTGCAGCAAGTGGTCACCAGGAAGTGTAAGGAAAGTGACTGAAGAGCCACAGTGGTTGTAGAAAAAAGGTAAGTCAGATGAAGTGCCTTAGCAAATAAATATTATATAAATCAGGTCAGCTAAGCCAAGCAGAAGGCCCAGGCACCAAAAAGCAACTCTGACAGCAAAGCAGAGGGTGTCTGGAGACTGAGCCAGCAAATGAACCCAGCAACAATGGCCTTACTGAGGAGGGTCCATGCTTGTATCCTGCCCATCCTAGGACGAGCAAAAAGGGCACGCATGGAAAGAGTTTGGGGTCAAAGATTAGCAGGTCTGCGTCAAGAATTGTAGCATTTCATTAGCAGAGGACACAGAAAGGCCACAAATTGCCTGGCCTTGCACTGCTTTGTTTTGATATGGGGCTTGACATGGGTGCAAATCTATTGTAAACACACGTAATATGTTACAGAAATGCAAGAAAAAGAAAACAGTTTTTTTGTTTTGTTGGTTTTTTTTTTTTGGTTTTTTTTTTTTTTTTTTTTTTTTTTTAAAAAAAATGGATTTTTTTTACACAAAACACCCCCAATA